ATCCAGTATATACGCCACTCTTTATTTTTCTTAAAAAGGAAATCAAGACAGACATAGTCTTCTCTATACATCATCTACGGCATAGCTAGAGATGGATACTCCACATAGATGCAGTAGGGAGACATGAAAGAGGCTTTGATTTACTTGTTGGAAGTGGCCTGAAAGATAAATTTGCAGCTACAAATGGCTTCTCATAATTTTCTTTGATTACTCTCCAACCCAGTGTTTTACTCGCCAAGCTTATTGGCCTTTATTTTCACTTGATCCCTTGGTTTAAAATAGCGCTCGCTATCTTCGCCATGGCGCTTGGCGACGTCTTGCGATGTCCTCATCGCCTTAAGACACCAAGGCTAGGTGAGGTACACAAAGCGATCACTATTGAGCGCATTACTATTTGTTATAAGGCGCCTCTAGCAACGCTCCATTGATTCTTCTCAAACCAACATGGTTTTGTACATATTTAGGTTATTTAATCAACTTCGGTTTAATATGTAAGCTTTACCGTCTAACATAATCTATGAAAAACCCTAATACAGTCTACTATATTACAGTAATACAACCCCCAAAGTTCTTGACCAGCTCTTTCTTTCTCTATTGTTCTTAACTCTATGCACCCCCTTTAAGCTCTTATTTCTTTCTACTGGTTAGTTCTCTGTTCGCATATATTATATTTTCTTAGCAAGCAAAACTGAAAATCAGAATTTTAGAATTTTAGATTTTGTAGCAATATTAATGATTCTGCTATTTTAGATTACAGTAATTTTGAATTGGTGTTTTGGTTTTAAGCTTTTATGCTATCGTGGAATTGATGTTTTGGTTTCTCTTTATAGTGTCTTTATCAATGGCTTAAAAAACTTAGAATTAGAAACAGAACATGTTTTGCATGTGTGTAAACACATGGCGTTCGACTTATCTCGCCATGTCGCTTGGCGAGAGTCGAGCACCTCATCGCATTTGTTCGCCACACGCTATTTAAAACCCAGCTTGATCCCAGTACGGAAACTTCACACACAGCGAGGCTGTTTTCAGAATAGCATGAGCTTAAACGTCATACTGAAATTTCCAAAAGCCATAAATGATGTCATTATTACACCTATCCATAGCATATTGGCTTATGAAAAATTGGAGTAAGATCTATATCATTGATAGGACTGAACGGTTGAAAAGAACGTATATCATCTAAGCAAATGACAGTGTCATTTGATTGTCTATATTATCTACAAAAAAAAAAAACAAAAGTAAGCATATATCTTACAATAAAAGGAGAAAAAAAACTCAGAATCTTTCAAAAAAGCAAACCGTGGTGTTGCGGGATCCTGACAATAAAATAAATAATTTGAAAACACCAGCATACAGTAACACACAAAAAAAATTTAAACGTATAATACATAAGGATGATCTGTGCTACCTTCTATAATGTATCCAAGATAAGCATATCCAATTGTCCACCACTTCCACCAGAATGTGATATTGCTATGTGATCTGAAGGCAATAAAATCTGAGATACCATCTTTGAGAATAACAAACACACACGCACTAAAAAATTAGTAACATTTACCATACTCGGTTCTTGGAGGAAAGGAAACAAAGACAGACATAGCCTTCTCCATACATCTATCTATAATAATAAAGTTGAGTTATCTGCCCTCTTAGGCTATCCACCTCATTTTTTATATAGGGGGTTTCTCCGCCACGTGTCAATTCACTAAACCATTCCGAATTGATTTTGGTTTACCTCATGATTCTATCGTAGTGGACTATTTATATAATTTTGAACTAATAAAGTTGAGTTATCTGCCCTCTTAGGCTATCCACCTCATTTTTTATATAGAGGGTTTTTCTGCCACGTGTCAATTCACTAAACCATTCCGAATTGATTTTGGTTTACCTCATGATTCTATCGTAGTGGACTATTTATATAATTTTGAACTAATATTATAACTTATGATGGGCCTTTGAAAACTCTATGAAAAGTCCATCATATTTTTAAGTTTTTTCCAATATTTTGAAACCCGACCCAAACACTAAACCGGACAACTTATCGGGTCACCGGATCACCGCGTCAACCGCGGTTCACTAATTAATTAATTCTATTATGTAATAATATTTATTATTTTCATTTGGCATATTAAACATTAAAAATAGTTTAGGCTAGAATTTGTTTTGTAACTTGAAAAAACTTATTACATCTAACAAATAATATCAAGAATAATAAACTTAAACATCTTAGAACTTAAAACTTATAACATGTAAAAAGGTAGATGGATGATAAAGAAAAATAATCAAAAACCAAAAACACAAAAAAGAATACAAAGTAGACAGAGGAAAGAAAAAGAAAGACGTCAAAAAATAAAACTGAAAACCTAACTCCTTAATATAATACAAAACAGATTTTAAAAATGTAATTATAAATTTATAAGGTTTAAAAAAAGTAAAAATCATTTATCGGTTCAACCGGTGGTTCAACCGATATCGAGTTTTGGGTTTTACGGGTTTTTGCCGATTTTTAAATTTTGGCAGTGTTTTGAAACCCGACCGTATCCCGGTTGAACCGGTAAATCCGGTGACCCAGAAAAAAATAGTCTAAGAGGACAGATAACCAGTAGCCTATTTTAAGTTTTCGTCTCCAAAATAATTTTTAACCTAAAAATCAATAGTATTTATTAATTGAGAGTAAAAATCTATAATATCTTTACTTTTGTGGTAAACAAATTAGAAAAAGTAATAAACAGCAACCACAAAAAAAAACTTGCGACGGCCATACATTTGATCATGCTTTATTATTTGATTCCAATATGGAGAATAGAATCAGAGTTACAAAGAATAAATTATAGAAAGCTTTCCTTTAGTGCTTACGGATAAAGATGAGCTTAACTACCTTAGTTATTGATAAGAAATTCTGGTTAGTATCCAAAATAAAATTTCAAATGTTGTTCCTTCTATATATTGCCCACACGGTACTCAACAGTATATATATGTTCTTTAAATAAAAAAAATTACAATATGTTTAAATTCCTTTGATATGACTATCAGTTTTTTATTCTACTCATATTGAATCGATTAATCAAAATCAATTATGTTATTCTACTTCATACTAAGCATCTAAAGACACAAATAATACAAACGGTCGCTAAATGAATCTAAAAATATCATGTTTTTGAACATATGTTCTTTACTAAGACTATAATATGAATTGTAAATTTGTGTAAAAATAAAACATAAGAAATCGGCGCGTAGCGCCGGAATACCACTAGTCATAAATAAAATATTGAGTCTCTACATAGCAAAATGATGTCTTGACGTTGGGCTTCTTTTGTTTTGGGCACTTTTATGTTTCAGACGCTTCTTTTTCCGCATACATGTAAAGACACGCCAAGCTTCATGCTTCTTCACAACTCTGCACCACTCAAGTGATCTTCATTGGCATTTTTATTATTCAATTCGGATTCACTGTTTTTTACATAAAGAAGAGATAGCTGATTGATTGAACTCTTTGAATTTTCCAGAGAATTCATTCAATTCAGTTCTCTAAACACAAACCTAACAACAACATCGCAAAGATTTCAAGAAAATTTAAAGATAATTATAAAAATCCAAAACGAAAGATAGAATTAAAAAATCAAAAGACCTAATTGTAGTAGAGCTCGAGACCCATGCCGTCGTGGATCTCGTAGTCCTTGACGATGCTGATGTTAAAGCTCGAGACAGAGCTCCACCCTGATGAGTAAACCTACTTCGCTGAATCGTGGTTTTTGGGGAAGATCTTGCATGCCTGTCCGATTTGCATACCAAGAGACATCATCATCACTGGAGACTATATACATATGGTGAGGCTTGGTAAACTGAATCAATTGAAAGAAGTTACGCGGTTGAATAGAACTTTTTTGGATGCCGAGTTTTTTTAATGGCCGACGTTTGGATTTCAACAAGGAATTAACAAACAAAGGCAAGATAGTGGGACATGCCTTTGGTATCATGGTTACAGAACAAATATTTCATCCACGACGACAAAAGTATCAGCCAGTGGAATTTCCGCTTGGTTTCATCGCTATAGTTTCGTCCTTCTAAGAGGAGGTTTTCGAGATTGAATGGAAGCAACTTGCAAACCGGTTTATAACGAAAGAGAAAGAGAAGGAGGTGAAACGAACTCATTAAGTGGTACTGAAAAACAGAAGATTGGACGAATCAAAGGGAGATTGGACAAAGAGGAATGAAGAAGACGAAGCAGAAGTCGGAATCGACGGGAAAAGTGGATGATCTTAGGCTTTAACATGTATAATGAGCCCAAATGCAAAAAGACTGTAATTTTTATTATCGACAGAAATTAATATGATATGGCAATTTGGACGATTTTTATTCGATGATTTTCAGTCCTATGTGGACAGCCTATCTATTGAGTATATTCAGCTTTTAATAGTGTGTGATCCTCGTTAGAAAGAGAGAGAGAGAGGGAGAGTACTAGGCCTGGGCAAAAAAACCGGAACTGAAGAACCGAATCGAAACCGAACTAAAATATCCGAAATCGAAACCGAACCGAGACCCTCAAATATTCGTTCTTATATTTATATATCCGAAATAACCGAACTGAGAACCGAATGGATACCCGAATATAAATTTTATATACATATAACATAACTAAATATGATTTTAATTTAAAAATTTATTAAAAGTATGCAAAATAGTTGAAGATAACTAAATAATTATATAGTATCCGAATTACGGATAATTTTATCTGAAATATCCAAAATTTGTATCTAAATCGTTTTAATTATTTGATATTTTATCTTAAATAACTGATAATCTACCCGAACTCGAACCATAACTAAATGAGAACCAAATTTTTCAGGTGTTTTCTGGTTCCTAATTTTACTATCTGAACCGAACCGAATCGAAAATAGGTCAAGTAGTAAATGATCCTTTAACTCCCTAACCGAACTATCCGAACTCCGAAATACCCGAACCGAACCGATATCCGAAACAATGTTGACGAGTGATATTCTCTGATATTGTTGTCACCTTTTTCAATAAATCAATCGTTCTTAACCTCAGAATTTGGTACATAATTGATTAAATAAAACCGTAACAAATAACAATGTGTTATGTAAATCTGATCTGAATGAATCTTTTCCAAGAACTTGCAATTACAAATCGATAACTGAATGACAAAAACAAAAAAAAAGAACTTTTTCTTCACACCCAAGTCACAGATATCAACGAGTTGGCAAGCCCAGATTGTTCGAAACTGGTGTCAGGTCCGTAATAAAGATTCTTGTAATAACCCGGAATTGCTTGAAACAGCTTGAAAGGCTTGTTTCTCTCCAATTGGTCAATCTGGGAGTAGCAAAACGAACAGAGAAGCTGAACAGATTCCGATTTGAGGAAACTTCTCTGCACTCTTCTCCCGCCTGGTAATCGAACGCAGATCCTACACAAAACGCTTTGATCCAAATCGCTATATGGCTCGGACAATTCTGGGTATCCGACAAACGCGTTAGGGAACAAATATGTTGTTGTTGTTGTTGTACTCTCGCTAGCTGCTGATGCGTCGGAGCAGCGTTTTTGGCGTTTGGTATCTATGAACGGCGATGAATTCTCCACGAGTGTCTGGGATTCAAGCATAGCGAATGATCTTTTTGCCATTGAACCTATCAAACTGTTGATTTCGTTGTAGTCTTTTTCAGGAGGATGGTCTGAGTGAATGTTGCTAACTTGCTATTGCTGCTTCTCTATTTATCACGTATTTGTGAGGCGTGGAAACGGAGAATTCTGTTTCTAGTTTCGCTTGAAAATGGATATTTTCCTTTTTTATTATTGTCAACAAAATAAATTTATGGATATTCAACTTCTTTTTTTTTTGGTAAAAGTTTTTTTTTATTCAACTTTCTTCTTCCAAATTTATTTGATTATAAACGGGAAACTTCTTCAACTAGTTGTTTCGTCTAGGCAATATGCAGTTACTATCTTCACATATTACATAATTAATATTTGAAAATCCCAAAATATCAGTGGTCTCTGATAAATTGATGTTGCAATTTAAGGATGATGTATACCTACCAACTGATATATGAAGCTCATGGGTCTATAGAAGCAACCCTAAGCCGCATAGCCTCGAAAATGTAAGGTTTTGGACAATGCAATGACAGATTAAAGACAGGTTTTGCAACTTTTGGGTTTTGCCTTGCTTATGAATAAAGAGGGGCCACTCTTCTTGAGGTGTGTGTTGTAACTTTTGGCTTTTGCCTTGCTTATGAATAAAGAGGGACCACTCTTCTTGAGGTGTGGTGTGTGTTGTAGCTTTTGGATTTTTCCTTGTTTATGAAGTAAAGGATAAGACACATTGTATGAGGAGTTTATGAACTTTTATTTTAGAATGAAACAATACATGGTCTGGACAGTACAGTATTGTTGGTACAGAATAATTGAACCACATATTTTTACAAGTTTACTTATATACTTCCACACGCAAACTATGGAACTTTTATGGGAAACAACACAAGAAAATGAGAGTAGTACTTTGTGAAAGTTCGAAAAAGATTCATATACTCTTGACTATACTTGAGCAGAAGGGAAGCTACGAAATGGATCCCCAAGTGCAGCCACATTCCCAGGACGTGAGAACACTACCTGTAATATTGGGCAAACACATGATCAAGTATTCAAATAAAGTCTTTACTGGAGTGACACTGAGGGAAGAAGCATGGTTAATACTCTTATATCTTACCTGATAGTTTCCAAGGGTAAGAGTCTTGAAACCAGCTGCACAGTAGTCAAAATAATATTCCCATGTTCTTATGAATTCATCTTCAAATCCAAGATCATTTGTTTGTCTGCGAAGATAGTAGTTGGACATATGAGCAAACATATGATTATCAAAACGTAAAACAGAGGAAATGTATTTAGCATTTAACTTACTTCTGTCTCTCCAGGAAGGTCTCCAACATCTCAATGTTTGGTAGTAATGAATCCCAATGTTCTCAACGTTTTCAGTGCTGCTTTCCCTTTGTGTGTTAGACAAATAGAAGGAAAGAAAAAGTATAGAAACTGCACTTGAAGCTAAACACGTGATAAAAGAAAGACTTTACCATAGCCTAGAAGAAGATGCCATGGCTGAAGTAACTCTGGTTAAAGAAGGAAGGCATCCGCCCGGGAATATGTATTCTTTTATGAAATCTGAACTTCGCCTGTACTCATTGTAACACTCCTCAGGTATTGATATGAACTTCTATGATCAAAACATAAAAAAAAAAACTATCAATGTTTGTGAAAAAAGTGAGACATGAAATTGGCTGGAAGTGAAAAAAGAAATTGTTAACCTGCAATACAAAATGTGAGACATGAAATTATCAATGGCCAACAGCTTCTAGCATCTCGCTGAAGTATCCAAAATGTTTTGTCAAAAGAGAGATTACAAAGTTATATGTCATATTTGTGAGCATCAGATAGTTGACGATAATTGCAGAGCTTAAACTTAATCCGATCCTGGCGATTAAGAGGTTATATTGTTAATCATGTAGCCTTGGAAAAACAGAAACAATATCCATAGATAGATTCTGGTCACCTTAAGTCCAGTTTCTTTTACTTTTTCTTCTGCATACTTAAGATGTTTAATAGATAGTGTAATGCCAGTGTATTTGCATCCAGTTCTTCTCACAACTTCTACGGCCAAAGTTCCCCACCCGCATCCGATTTCTAAAACTTCATGGTTCTTCTCTATCCTTGCCTGAAATAGTGAAGAAAGAGAATAAAGAAAGTAGTTTCTTGTTATGAATTAAGAAACGCTCTTCTATACATGTTACCTTATCAATCAGAAGAGGTATTTTTCTCATTTGTGCAGTTCTCAGATCCTCATCAACCGACTATTAAGTGAAAATGGAAAAAAGTTGTTAGACAGAATCAGAGATAGTAACTGAAAAGAAAAAAAAAAAAAAAGTCCCACCTTGAATACTGCAGAGGAATAAGTGATGGTATTCATATCAATCTGAACTTCGCCTGTACTCATTGTAACACTCCTCAGGTATTGATATGAAAAAAGCTCATTACTCTGCGTAAGTACCCAGCCATGAAGCAAATCAAAAACTCAGAGTGGATATGTTCGTTTGAGACATAGTGAATATAAGACATAAGAAAACTTGCGAGGTCATAGTGACGAGAATTGTTCCTTCGAGCTTGAGTTAATGTGTTTTGCCTAGAGACATGCTTTAGAAAATTATTCGCAGATGCTAAACTGACAGTCAGAAACATCGGTGTCCACCATCCCCTATGAGAACAAACACAAGTTTTCAAAATGTTGTGAACAAGTGAAAGCTTACTTAACAGCTTAGCTAAAATTTGAATCCTCCTTACCTTTTCTTAGTAAGTTTTGAGTTTTTTTTAGTTCAGTTCTTTGTTTGCAAGAAGAATCTGTCAATTTGTGGTCAAGAAGGTTTTATAATTTCTTGTGGAATCGAGTCAATACGAGATCAAGTTTACGAAACAATCACACACAACAAATGACACATAGAGATATAAGAGAAACGAGAATCACAAAACAGAGTATTCAAAACGAAAAATGACACATAGAGATGTTATCCAGTTCGAGCGCAAAACTGCGACGCTACGTCTGGCTGAGGATCTCCTCGGAATTCATTAAGGTCAGTGTATTCAACACCGCCGCCGTATCTCAGTCGTTACACTCACCGGAAAAAGCCCCGAAAGAAAACACTCATCACCCCCGAAAGAAAACACTCATCACCCCCGTAGAATAGTAGCTTTCTCTCTATCGCTTTTCTCTCTCACCGTGTTTCCCAGAAATTCTCTCGTATTCTCTCTACTAACACAACTCGTCATAATACATGCGTAGATAACAACCGTGAAACGGCCTTCGCAGTGGACCCTACTGTAACAAACTTTCGAAAACAAAAAAAAAAACTGAGATACGACAACGTTTACATTTTAGAACAAACCGACTCCTAAACCGGAATACAATTTCATCCTAACAAATCAAAACAAAACCGGTCTGATTTCCACGCAGTCTTCATAAACAACTTCCAACGAACTCCACCTTGGTTATAAGACTTTAAGCTGAGCTTAGATGAACCCCATCCTCGATTTCCTTCTGTCATCACCGAGCAGAAGCGCCAAGTAAGCTCAACAGATGCTTGAACTTACTTACCGGCAAGACTTTAGTGAAAATGTCTGCAATATTCTTCTCCGTATGCACCTTTGACACTTTCACTTCACCTTCCTCTACTAGTTCCCTGACAAAACTCAATTTCCTAGCCATGTGTTTCGTCCTCTCATGGTGAACATTATTCTTCGCAAGAGCTCTAGCACTTTGAGAATCACAGAAGATCTCAATGTTTGCTTGTTTGTATCCAAACTCTTCACTAAGACCCATCAACCACACTGCTTCTTTTGAAGCTTCAGTTAAAGAAACGTACTCAGATTCTGTAGTTGATAAAGCCACTACCTTCTGTAAACTAGATCTCCAGGTAATAGCACATCCTCCTGACAAGAATGTATATCCTGAAATGGATCTGCTCCTGTCCAAATCTCCACCAAAATCATAGTCACAAAAGCCAACAATTTTGAACTCCTCCATCCTCTCAAACTTTAGACTCATGCGCCGAGTCCCATTTACATATCTCAGAATCCATTTCACTGCATCCCAGTGTTCTTTGACAGGGTCGCTCATGAATCTGCTAACCAAACCAACATGATAGGCTAGATCAGGTCTAGTTCCTATCATACCGAACATGAGACTACCAACAGCATTGCAATATGGTACTGATCTCATGTACTCTTCATCTTCCTTCACTCTGTTAGGATCTGTAGACATCAACTTGAAATGAGCTCCAATGGGAGTGTTCACAATCTTAGCATTCTCCATATAATAGGTCTTTAACACCTTCTCCATGTAGCTTTCTTGAGACAGAATTAACGTCCCCTTAATTCTGTCTCTGAGAATCTCAATCCCAAGAATTTTCTTAGCATCCCCCAAGTCCTTCATCTCAAACCGAGAGCTTAACTGATCTTTGATGTCTTGGACAAGATTCATGTCCTTGCTTCCTACTAACATATCGTCAACATATAGCAGTAAGTACACATACACATCTCCAATGCTCTTTATATAAACGCACTGATCATGACAGCTTCTCTTGAATTCAATCTCCTTCATGAATTTGTCAAATTTCTTATTCCACTGACGTGGACTTTGCTTTAAACCATACAGAGATTTTCTCAACCTGCACACCAGTCTTCTTTTCCTTTCTCTTCATAACTCTCAGGTTGTGACATGTATATTTCTTCTTCTAAATCACCATGAAGAAATGTGGTTTTTACATCCAATTGTTCCAGCTCCATATCTTCTTGAACCACTATAGACATCAAGTATCTTATAGATACATGCTTAACAACTGGAGAGAAAATCTCATTGTAATCTACTCCTTCCTTTTGAGCATATTCCTTAGCAACAAGCCTTCCCTTAAACCTAGGATCCTCCACGCCTGGTATACCTGATTTCCTTTTATAAATCCACTTACATCCTATCACAGTTATTCTTTTAGGCTTCTTTACAAGATCCCAAGTATGGTTTCTTTTTAACGAGTCCATTTCCTCATCAGATGCAAATCTCCATTGCTTTATGTGAGGATCTCTCATTGCAGACTTGTAGTCGCTTGGTTCTACTAGATCACCATCTTAAGCAACCATGCAAGCAAGGTATACATAGCCATCTAACTTCTTAGGAGGCTTGGGATCTCTTCTGCTCCTATCACGAGCTAACTGATAATTTCCAGTTATCGTTTCAGCACCAGAGTTTTCTTGATCTGATAAATCTTCTTCAGAGTCACTACTTTCTACAGCAATCACATCAGTATTTATATTTCCTCAGTGTGAAATCTCTTGACTCACTCCACCTGAGCTCATATCCATTTCTTTTGATATTCCAAGTTCTATATCAAGGAAATTTGTGTTACTTTCCTTTGACTCAACTGATTTTCCCTTCAGTTTTTTATAACCTTCATCTTCTTTGAAAGTAACATTCCTGCTGATAATACTTCTTTTATCCTCCAGAGACTAGACTTTATAGCCTTTCACTCCAGAAGGATATCCAATGAATATTCCCTTCTTGGCTCTAGGCTGCAGTTTTCCTTCATCAGAATGATGATAACAGATACACCCAAACTTTCTCAAATGGTCAAGCTGCGGAACTGTCTCAGACCATACTTCTTCAGGTATACTGTTTTGAATAACTGCAGAGGGAGTTCGATTATCAGATACACTGCTGTGTTAACAGCTTCTGCCCAAATTGCTTTTGGTAACCCAGACTCATCCAACATGCTTCTTACTCTCTCTAAGATTGTTCTGTTCATCCTCTCCACAACACTATTCTGTTGTGGAGTATAAGGAATGGTTTTGTGTCTTGCTATGCCCTGAGCTGAACAGAAATCATCAAACTCCTTATTACAAAACTCCAATCCGTTGTCAGTTCTGAGCTTTTTCACTTTAAGACCTGATTGTTTCTCCACCAGAGTCGTCCATTCAATAAACTTCTCAACAGCTTGATCTTTGGTCTTTAAAAAATAAACCCATACTTTCCTTGAGCAATCATCAATCAAACTCAGGAAATAATGGCAGTTTCCCAATGATTTTGGAACTGTGGGAGAACCCCAAAGAGATCTGCATGAATATACTCTAGACATGCCTTGCTGATATGTTGTCCAGAACCAAAACTGACACGGTGAGCTTTACGAACTACACAGCTTTCACAAAAATGCAATCTTGAAACTTTCTTCTTGTCAAGTATTCCTTTCTTTACTAAGGCGTCAATACTCTTTTGACTTACATGTCCAAGTCTGCTATGCCAAAGATTTGTCTCATCTTTTACTGTTACCAGGTTCACTTCATCAACATGACTTCTTGCTTGAAGAAAATACAGATTATTTTCTCGCTTTGCCTTCAGTACTGTTCTGCAGCCCTTTTTAACCTTTAAAACACCTTTCTCAGATGAGAATGAACATCCTTCACTCTCAAATACTCCAAGAGACATCAGATTTCTTCAGAACTGAGGGATATACCTCACATTCTTGATCAACACAAAGTTCCCTTCTGATGTCTTTATGCGGACAGTACCAATTCCCTTGATTGGTGATGTTGTCTCATTTGCCATTCTAACAGATCAACATCAGATTCTTTCAGTTCAACATCATATTCTGCTGAAATTGAATATAAGTCAGATCTTGTACTTATGCAAAATATTTATGTGTCTCTAACAATCTAATAAATATGTTTACTGAAAATTTTATATCAGATTTGAGATCAATAGTTTCTTAATAGTTATAAGTTAACTCTAAAGCATCAGATTTGGTATAACTTCATCTTTAACAGGATTCTAAAAATTACATTATTACACTAAATTTGATGTTTTGTGAAAAGTGTAATAACAGTGTGAAGTAATATTATTTATCCCATGGAATTTTAGTTAAATGCTTTACTCTATTTTATTTAATAATGGAACTAAACTAATATTATTCATTCAAATTAATTTTTAATTAAAATACATATAAATTTGTATTTTAAAATACATATAAATTTGTATTTTAAAATACATTTTAATTATTCAAAATAAATAAATATATAAATTTGTTAAAACAAAAATATTTATATAAAACTAATGTAAAATACAAAATTGTGGAGATAAAAATTAAATTATATTACTAAAATAGTAAAATTTAGTATTACTTCAACCGCAAATATAGTATCATGAATGGAATTGTCTGACAAATAGCAATATTTATAACTGATTTGATTGAAGACGGCTTTCTTCCATATTTGTGGTGTATACAGTAGGAAAAATCTTAGGTATATTAATTTTCAA